CAGTCAGCTGAAGTAGCCTGCAGTGCTGCATTTAACCACTGCGCCACCTCGGCTCTAAAGGAGAAACTTCCTAACAATAAGAACAATTAACCAGTGGATAGCCATTTGTCTCAAATTGCATAGGGCAGTGATGGCTAAGCTTTCTGTTGATGCATGCCAAAAGCGCACGCACACTCATAACGCAATGCACGTGTGACACACACACCCCATGCGTGCTCCACCCCAATGCATGCGTGCACATGCATGTTCAGCAGAGACCCAAAAACCAACTGGCTGGTGGGGGGCGCAAGGGCATGCATGGTGGAGCTGAAGTGGGGCAATGGCTTGCATGCCACAGAGAGGGCTCTCCATGCCACTTGTGGCATGCATACCATAGGTGCACCATCAAGAGGATAGGGCCTCCTTCTTGAGCATGGGAGTAGACTATAAAATCACCAAAGTTCCTTCCAGCTCTATTCTGATTGACTGACTCAACTCTTCTATGAAGCTGGTGTATTCTGCCCACTGTTCATTGTAATTGTTTTGGTAACTATTCTTCCTATTGTCAGTATGAGAAATAAATCTCATAGCTAACATAAAAAAAATATTAAGCAAAGCTGGTATGATTAATATTGAGATGGGAGATCTCTCACATCCAAAGTTGTAGGCTAGATGGGAAAGAAACCTATTTCTAATAATCTCATATAAATGAGACTTGGAGGGCATTGGCCATATTCAATCTGATCAGGCAAGAAAATGACTGTATGAGGCAGTTCATCAGATAACCCTGTGCAGAACCATTTAGGACTCAAATAGCCCCTTGAATCAAACCTGGAAGCCAACAACAATCAGCATTGCTCTCAGCATAGAGAGATCAATGAGAAGTACCCAACGTCAACCACACCATGTTTTGCAATTTCTGAATGCTTTCCAAGGCCAGCTCTACATGGAGAGCACATTACCGTAATCCAGAGGTTCCCAAACATGGCAAGAGCTGGCTGGAGAATTCTGGGAATTGAAGTCCACAAGTCTTAAAGTTGCCAAGTTTGGGAACCACTGCGTAATCCAAATGGGAAGGGACTAAGGCACGAGACAGTGAGCACATTTTATTTTACGTCCCATTCCTTCTGGCACGTGAAAGGGCCTTCTCTATGGTTGCTACTATTCTTCCACTGGCTGGCAATGCCATATTTATCTACACAGGTTAGCTTTGAAACTAATTTGTTGCAGTTGATATTAGTCTGCTAAGAGTGCCTTATTTATTTTTTTCTTTTGTAGCTTTTAAATTATATATATTTTATTTTGTTTGCATTGCTGAACATTCAGACACCAGTTTTTATGGGAAAAAATTCAAGTACATGTAATCAGTTTTAAATAAAAACCTCTCCAAACCTCAATAAATATTGTGAGAATGTGAAGAGGTATAAAGAGACATAAGCAAAACCATCATTCAAAGTCAAAGCAATTACCTTCCTACTGAGATTCTATCTGCCACTCCTATTTCTTAGAAACCAACTGGGGAGACTCATGTCTTTGATCATGGCTATGGTATGCAGGACAGATGGATTTCATTTTTTACCTATAATAACATTTCTAATAGAAACTCTTCTTATGTTTCTTTGGCCATGAGTGCTAAGTATTTTGCAACCAAGAATTATTTTGCTTCCATTATCCTGAATCAGGACTAGGAACAGGAAGGGGGGAAAGAAATTATTGTGAAAAAGAGGAAATATTTGGAAACCAATGCATTAAAATATATGCGTCAATGAAATGGATAGTTTTGAGTTCCAAAGATTCTGCAGCTTGAGAATACCTCACTGAAAATACTTCCAGAAACGGCACAATTAAAGTGATTTCAATTGTATTATCTTGTACTTGGTCTGTAGCATTTATAGTTCTGGAGAACCAGTAGCAGAAATTTTGAGTAGTTTGGAGAACCGGGAAATAGGCTGGCACCGCCCCAGCTGCCTCCCAGACGATCTTCTTTTGTTGCCCACGAGAATGGAGCTAGAAAGCAGGTCGGGGTGGGGAGAGAATGGGGATTTTGCAGTATCCTTCCCCTGCCATGTCCACAAAGCCACGCCCACAGAACCGGTAGTTAATTTTGAATCCCACCACTGATTAATACTTAAATAATTAGGAGACAACTCAGAAAAGACGACTATCTTAATGGGAGTGACCTGACATGGAGATGGGCTTTGTGGCTTCTCCACAGATTAGAGATGCCCATAGCCTTGGGTCACAACAAGCAGCTACAATGAACAGATAAGCAGGCTCTCTATAGGACAGTGGTTCCCAAACTTGGCAACTTTAAGACTTGTGGACTTCAACTCCCAGCAGAGCTGGCTGGAGAATTCTGGGAGTTGAAGTCCACAAGTCTNGAAAAGGAAAATGAAATAAAAATGTTTCAATATAAAAAAAATGAAAAAAAATAATAAAAAAACAAAGCAATTTTAAAAAGGCAGATTGAAATTTCTCAAATGTTATGGCAACACTAGCCGTATCATCATCAACTTGTATTCTCTCTTATCGTGTCAGTCATTATCCCTGTTCAGGTAATATAAACACACATCTTGAACTCACCTCTTGAACATCAGGGAGTATCCACAAATACAGATCCTCATCAAAATTTGTTATGGCTTTCCACTTCAAAAGATTTCTTAAAGAAATCCTTCATATGTAAAGCTTTACACCCATGAAGGGTTCCAGATATGTTTGAGCCTTAATTGTACAGAGATTATCTGATTCAGAAGGTAGCTTCCAATCATACACCATAGGCAACCACTGAATTTCTCCAGGGTGTGGTTGAAAAAAATCAAGATGGCCACTGCAATAGTGCTATCTGAGGGATACCCATTTTTTTCTAGGCACATAAAAGATGAAGAGACGTCACCATCACCACTTTTTTGTTGTCCATAGTCTGCTGACATCTCCGGTTTCAACTACAGGTATGTTCATTTTCCCTGACTACCATTATTTTATTTTCTCTATTTTTGTAATAACATTTCTCCTGTGTGTGTATTGATCTAATTATTGATTAGTTAATATGGTCCCAAACATACATAATGGCTGCATACATTTTTCAATAAATTCCACTGCAACACACATGGGAATTGTTAATAGAACATGAATACGTTATTCATTTATTTTCTAAGGTTACATATGCATACCAACATAAGGCCAAAGACAAAACAGATTAACATCAGACATCTAATGTTTGAGCTTTACCTACAATTGTGTCCTTCCTGAAAACCTTAAAAGTAATCTGGATACGTTATTAATAATCCTATAAAATAGATTGTTGAAACAAAAATGTTTCTCAACATCAGTGATGAGTGAAATTATTCAAAGTTATTGGAATACATTAGGGATTAATTAAAATACCCCAAACACCTTTAGGAAATGTACACTGCCAAGTCACTGAGAGTGGGATTATATACATCACTCTACAGATGCATCTAAATGTCTAAAAAGGAAATGAAACTAAAAAGTAATGGAGAACCAAGTAATAAGGCTATCATCATCAATCATATAAGCAAAACAAACTTGCCATAAGTTTCTATATTTATAAAATATTATGAAGAAAATGGGTATTTCTCCAAGAGACATCTGTGCTGCTGAGAAAGACAAGGGAAATTTGCAATTCTGTATTTATCCTTTATTATTTATAGGTAGTCCTTGAATTATGACTATAATTGAACCTATAATTTTGGTCGCAAGTCAGTGGGTCATCACATGACTAGACCTGATTTTACAACCTTTTTTGTGATGATCATTAAATAAATCCAGAAGCAACCCTATTGCTTGCTGTTGGCTAAATTTTACCGGAAACTGGAAATAAACACCAGTTTCTGGCAAAACCATTGATAAAACCGTGGCACGACAAAACCGCGGTCCACTAAAGCGTGCCCGATTAAAGCGCGTCGCTGACGTCATCAGCAGCGCGACAACAGAGACCGCGGAGAAAAAAGGGTGCTTTAAAAAGCGCTTTGAAAGCAGACCGATTCACATTAAGGTAAGGGTTAGGTTTAGGTTTATTTCCAGGGTTAGGTTAAGGGTTAGGTTTAGGGTTAGGTTAAGGGTTAGGTTTAGGGTTAGGTTAAGCGTTAGGGTTAGGTATAGGGTTAGGTT